AAGTGTTATGTCATGAAAGAAGCTACTGTATATAAAATATATAATTATATATCACTGTTTATTTGGAACTACTGTAGAAGCAGTCAAGAGGATGGCCTGGTACATGAGATCTTCTGATGTCAGCCTTGTTGAGCATGGCATAGCAAAGCAACCCAGGACCAAATGGGGCTCAAGGATGACTATAACTAATTATGAACTCTAAAAATGTTTATGCTATGTGTTTTCTGGGATGTTAATATTGTAACGCAACGGGGGCTCAGGCGGGCGCCCTTGCTGCATCTGGTCGGCCCCATCCCGACTGGAGGCTCGAACCCGGGACTCCCGCGTCTCTCTGCAGCGACCAAGCCCCGTGAGCTAAAGAGAGATCTCTCTACAGCCCAGTAGCTGTAGTCCTGCTATCACAGGGAAGGGCGGTGACATCACCTGCTCTGGTACGCCGGCTCTTACACAGTGCCTGTCGGCCATAAGCATTACAATATGCTTTTTTTTCAACTGATCATGGTCAATCACCAGAATTGACTCCTTATTCTATTCATATCTGACCATAGTTTTCTCAGACCTTTGTGAGGTGGCATTTTCTATCATTAACGATTAATGAATTTATGTCTTCTTTTTATTAAATGTGGATTTTCTTTAAGATAATAAACTAAAGGACTTTTTAACCTGAAAATACATTGCTGTAACATGCATATTATACTTATCATTATATCAATTCAAATGAAAAATGTAATATTTAATCATTTAAACTGTCTGCATTTTTGGTTCACTGATTTGGTTCCAAAGGAGTTCCTAAAAAACTCAATAAAGAATATAAATGTTGCGACAAATTGTAAAGCCATTTACCTGTACCAAACCGGCATTACAAAACAAAGAACAAGTACATTTTATCTCCTAAAATATTTAAGTTCTACACGTGTCATAAAGCAATAAACTTTGCTTGTTACTGAAAGTAGTGAAAGTTGGTCAGCAGATGAATAACAATGAGCATTGTTGAGGGCTCTGAGGGGCCGCGCAATTGAATAGCTCTGTTGAGTCTGAGATCCGCGGGAGCTAATTGAATGAATGATAATGAGACAGACAAGGTAGCAGATGCTCGCGTGCCTTTACAACACCAGTCCTAACGACGCATTCCACCAACACAAACTTTTGAGTGATGTTCTGGCACCCTGCAGTTGGTCTGAACCTCATCTCGGCTACGTTCCACCTGCTAGATCTATTGTTAGAAGGCACCCCTTCATTTTAATAACAAACTTCAATGCCCTTGTTTACAATGACTTTATTGCACCAGGACAGGAATACTACGTCTTTCGAAGGGCTAACTGATGCTGTAACAGTCTACATGTCAAGCAGTGCTTGGCAACTTCTTCGAAAAGCAAATGCGATATACCGAACGTCTGATATCCAGATTAAGAATGTTTTGCTGTGTTAATTGCCATTATGTAATGCATATGGTAACCCTACTAGTATTTGATGTTGTCAGACCCTTCCATAAACATTGTGCCCAAGTTGTTGAATATTCTATAAAAAGTTAGGTTTCGTACATCTGAAATTAAATTTTCTCATAAATCAACATTGTATTGGTGTTTATCCTAATGTAAATTAAATCATTAGAAAAAATAAAAGCTAGGATATGTTTTATCATGGCTTTTTAAGGGGAATTTGTAAAACTTATTTACCTATGCTCTAAACCTAAAACTATACACACAAATGCGTTAAAAAGTTTAATCGAGGGGAAAAAAATCAATGTTTTAAGAACAAACAGAAAAACGTATTTGCTAACACAAGCCTGTTTGAAAAATGTTCATTAATTAGTCACTGCATCTGTAATTCCTTTTTGAATGAACTTATTGAGACCCCAAAAGTGCTCAGTAAACATTCTTTTCACTATTTCAGGGTGTTAACACAGAAAATTGATGGTCTCTTTCGGAAGGAACCATGTCTAAATTTATTACGTCTGCATCTGCTTTCAGAACGTCTGAAGTTATTTTCTCTTTTTTTTTTCACCAGCGGACAATGTTCTTGAAATACCCTGTCTAACTTGTTTAAACCCAAATTGATTTCAACTTCTTTGTGCCAGGAATGTGATCAGCACCTAGTTCGTATAGCAGTAATTGCATTACTGCTTTGAGCTTGCTCTACGCTTTGGAGTAAAGATGCAAAAGAACCAGACCATCGGCCCGTATCTAACTTTATTAAATCTCATCAGTGATAGCTCCTGGTTCTCAGTAACGTTTTAGTAGCTCTGTGTAACGTTGTGAAGTATGAAAAGTACTGTATATTCAAAGCGAACAAAGTTCGCGTTCGTGACAAGATCTGAGAGGCTGATGGGCAAAAAACGATCTGACTGAGTTGCCGTATTGTAAAATTATACCATACTAAATGTGAATCCAGCTTCACATTTCTAAAATATAAATGGAACCTGAAAAGAAACGTTGTCCACATCTAGAGAGTTTGTATTGCAAGCGATACTTTATTCACAATGTGTTTTTTCTCAGTAACCTGTCAGGGTTATGTCACGTTATTTTACGTTTTTACAGGCTACACTGTAAAACAAATATTCAGTAAAATTGTTCTGTTCTGTAGTAATCATCTGGATAAACGTGCAAAGTAGATAACAACAAAGATCGCTTTAATTGGCCATTACATCCTATAATGACTAAAGTAAAGATATCATTCATTTATATCAGCACAAGCAAGTATGGCTCATGCTAAATTCTGTTTGGGGAGATAAGTTGAACATAATGGTTGAAAAACACTTGCACTCAATAATGATACCTCTTAAAAGGTCTTAATTGAATTGATCTCATCGTGCTGGTGACAAATCATAATGACGAACTATCAGCTCTTAGCAGTGTGTAAATAAGGACTTTTGCGAAAAGAACAGAAAGTAAATAAGTAGGCTGTTAGAAAATAAAACGTCCCAGACATTTTAGCATTATGCGCTTTACTTCTGATATTTTTAGTCATCTAACAAGTATCGTTTTATATTTATAGTAAAGAAAAACAAATCAATGTAACATAAACTGAAATCCTCTGTAATTGAATGTTATGGCTCCAAGGGAAAGATCTGTGCATTTGAGGCCAAACATATTTGCTTTGGAATAAAAAAAAATCACTTAAGACGTTGGTGCTGTGAAGTAAAAAGCTTTGAAAGTTTCCTAACAGGAGGGTGCTTTCGGGGCAGCGTAGCTTTCCTTTTCACTTGGAAACACTCACGTGCCAGAGGGGAAAGCACAAAGAGGAACCTATATTAAGGCAACGTAGCTGCACGTGTGGTTCTTCGCACTTCTTTTGTGTTCCTTAAGTCTGTCATGTCAAAGGGGGTGAAATAGGAAAAGTCAGTTACTGTACTCTGTTTTAACGATACACGCACCCGTTTTTTAAACACAGCCTTTATAATGAATGGGTAGGAAAGAGTTTAGTGTATATTTAGTACTTCTTGATTTTCACAGTAGGCTATAAAACATAATGAGCTAATGCAGAAGCAGGGCTGCTGCACAGCTGACGTCACATAAAAAAACTTGCTTTTGGTAGATCTACCCTCCTGAACAAAGTACAAAAGACAAAAAAGATCTGGATGACATATGGTATAGAGGATTGATTTCTCTCCAACGGGACTATCAATAAAAAATAAATCCTGTTAATTTCAGGTTATGACACTAAATGCGGGTTAAAGTAAGCCATTTCTTTCAATTATGAGATGAAAAGAAGTTGCTGTTGGAGTTTACAAAAATGTTTTGGGAAGATTTATAAACGCTCTTGGAAAGCAGAGCGTGAACTAATGGAATTAGATTATCTCTGAATCACGATCTCAATGGGCACTAATTCCCCATTGGTGTTTTAAAGGGGGTTTGCTCAGAGCTGAATTGATGTAATTATTGGGTTGGATTGTTGGAGACTCACGCCAGATGGCCATGGGTTTCTAAAGCCCCAGTTGCTCATGTTTGCTTTTTAAGTCTGCATATAGGATGCTAATTCAGGGATCAGAAATCTGAAAGAGCTCCAAAGTTGTAAAACAGTATTATTCATGGGGACAGAATGTTCATCGGCGTGACCCAGTACTAAATACATTCATTAGAACGGATTCTTTTCACTACGATTAGTAACACGGCTGGATTCAGATAGAGGAGACAATGGCATGTAAAACGCATGTGAAATGTTAGAAAGGGGGAAAAAAGAGAGAGGAGTTCATGCCGCGATTTTGTTTTTCATTTTTACACTGGAATCGTCTTAGTGCATTCTCAGTTTCTCTCACGCAACACAAGCAAGATCAAGAGAGAAAAGGAAAGCTGGGACTGAATGGTCTGGTCTGAACGATGTACCAGAGAGCATACACGATTTTTTTTACACATCTGACCAACATCCAAAATGTTTCCCCAAACCTTCTGAAATACCCCTTTAGAAATGTTTTCCACATCAATGGTAATTCAGATGTAGCCATTAACATTGAAATTAGGTAAGGTAAAGCAAGTTATCCATGTATACTTGTTGCGCCTTGGTTTAATACATCACACACTGAAGCGCCACGACCCACTTTAAAGAAAGAAAGTTAGCTGCTTTTAAAGTTTCAAAACGATTGCCTTCATGCACATAATTTATTCGCATTAGATATTCTCAACTTGAACGAGTTAATAAAAAGGCATTAAACATGATTCCTGTTTTTCTCTTTTTGAACGCACCCACCCTTAACAACAACATTCTAACATTATCATGGAAATAACTTGTCGCACAACACAAAGGCAACAACAGCGATGATGATAATAATAATAATAATAATAATAATAATAATAATAATAATAATAACCTAGATTGTGTTAAACCATAAAAATTTCACAGGGACTATGAGTAGACGTCATTGGCGTAGACATCATTAAAGAACAAGGGAAAATCTCCTAAATAAAAGTTTGTCTTGAGCAATTTGTTTCAGCTTTTGTTCAGGCACGCTCTGAGAAAGTGAATTCAAAAAGGCGGGGTCTGGTCCTGTAGTCCTTTGTAAATCAATAGCTGCTCTGTTTTGAGTGGTCTTCGGGAGGCTATAGGGGCAGCACTTGATTTGGGTAGCGCCGTGAGTGTGTTGAAGAAAAGCTGCAGTTTTAGATTGGGGCGGGCTATCTGGGACAGTCAGTCTGCAGAAAAGCATCACAGAAGGCAGGAGTTCTCTGCTGGGCGAACACGAACTGTAGTTGTTCTTCTTACGGATGCTTATGTGGATGCGTGTGCAACAGATCTGTCTACGCGAGCAATACTTTTCATAGAGAAGTTAAAATGTTTTTACATCAATAACACTTCAACGACCAAGCCTACGACCAAGTGTTTCATCTATAGGCTTCATTCTGTAAATCAGGGCGTTGTGCTACAGCAGAAGTTTAATTCGACTGGAAAAAAGAATCGTATGGCAAAATATTAAGATTTTTTTAGAGACCGAACTTTCAAAACCTGGTGGAATTAATATGTTCGTGGCTTAATACAGTTTTTCAAACCCCTTTTTTCCCCCGGGAGATATAAGCCTGTTGGAGATGATTTCCAAAATGAATTGCAGGAGGGGGAACGTATGTTTTTGCTTCTTATTTCTGAAACTACTTTTGGTGATCACGTTAACTCAGCATGTTTCAGGTAAGACGTTGAAGTATAAAGTGTATGAAGAACAGAAAGTAGGGACAGTAATTGCAAGACTTAAAGAAGATGTGTCTGATGTGCTATCGAAACTACCCAGTGACATTTCTTTGCGGTTCCGAGCTATGCAAAGGGGGAGCACGTCTCTGCTTTCTGTTCGTGAAGAAGACGGGGAAATCAGCATTGGGGCGAAAATTGACCGGGAACAGCTGTGTGAAAAAAACCTAAATTGTTCAATTGAGTTTGATGTTATTACTCTACCGACGGAACACTTACAGTTATTTCATATCGAAGTGGATGTGCTGGACATTAACGATAACTCACCACAGTTCTCTCGGTCCATTATTGCCATTGATATATCAGAAAGTGCAGCCGTGGGAACAAGAATCCCTTTGGACAGCGCTACAGATCCAGATGTTGCTGAAAACTCCCTTCACACTTACTCCTTGTCCCAGAATAACTATTTTACTATTGATGTGCGAACAAGGACTGATGGGGCCAAATACGCAGAGCTTGTTGTTGTTAGAGAATTAGACAGGGAAGTACAATCAAGCTATGAACTTCAGCTAATGGCTTCTGATAAAGGGGTTCCTCCCAAATCTGGCTCAACTCTTCTTAAAATTAGCATTTCAGATTCAAATGACAACAGCCCTCTTTTTGAAGAGCAATCTTATGTTATTCATCTACAAGAGAATTCACCTCTGGGATCTCTACTAATCGACCTCAATGCAACTGATCCAGATGAGGGCACTAATGGGAAAGTTGTCTATTCATTCAGTAGTCATGTGTCTCCAAAAATACTAGAAACTTTTAAAATCAATCCAGAAAATGGCCACCTAACTCTTTCAAAGCCAGTTGACTATGAAGCTTCTAATTCATATGAGATTGATGTTCAAGCTCAAGATCTGGGACCCAATTCAATTCCAGCTCACTGTAAGATTATTATTAAAGTGGTTGATGTCAATGATAATAAACCAGAGATTAATATTAATTTAATGACCCAGGGAAATGAAGAAGTGGCCTATATTTCCGAGGCAGCTCCCAAAGACACGTTTGTGGCTCTTATTAGAGTTGAAGACAAAGACTCAGGTTTGAATGGAGAAGTTATATGCAAGCTTCATGGTCATGGTCATTTTAAACTTCAAAAGACTCATGAAAAAAATTACATGATTCTAACTAATGCTTCCTTAGACAGAGAAAAGAGGTCTGAATACAGCCTGACAGTTATAGCAGAAGACAAAGGTATTCCAAGCCTCTCTACAATTAAACATTTTACTGTACAAGTTCAGGATGAGAATGACAATCCACCACATTTTGAGAAGAACAGATATGAAATTTTTAAGTCTGAAAACAATTCTCCTGGAGCCTATCTTACATCAGTGATGGCAAGTGATCCTGATCTTGGAGAGAATGGACAGGTTACCTACACAATTTTGGACACCTTTGTCTTGGGTAGCTCCATCACTACATATGTTACAATAGATCCATCTAATGGAGCCATCTATGCTCTCAGGAGTTTTGATCATGAAGATATCAGTAGAATTGTGTTTGTTGTGCAAGCAAGAGATGGAGGTGGCCACCAGCTCATTAGCAATACAACTGTGGTACTCACTATTTTAGATGAAAATGATAATCCACCAGTAATTGTTGTGCCACAGCTCCGTAACCATACTGCTGAAATATCTATCCCTAAATATGCTGATGTTGGACACTTAGTTACTGCTATTAGAGCAACAGATAGAGATACTGGTGTGAATTCTGAGTTAACGTGTCTTATTGTATCAGGCAATGAAGACAATATCTTCACCATGGACCCAAAGAAATGTGAGATATATACCAATGTTAGCATGGAAGACATTCCATATGAAGAAATTGAAATTACAGTTGTAGTTCAAGATAAAGGAGCTACAAAGCTCAGTGCCAAAGCAGTTCTGAAGTGTATTTTATATGAAAACACGGACAATCACTTCCAGCCAGCACCAACAGCCAGCAGCCAGCCTTCACTTGATGTATCAATGATTATTATTATTTCCTTGGGAGCTATTTGTGCAGTTCTGCTGGTCATTATGGTAATGTTTGCCACCAGGTGCAATAGAGAAAAGAAAGACACAAGATCTTATAACTGCAGGGTCGCTGAATCCACTTACCAAAATCACCCCAAGAAGCCCTCCAGACAGATTCATAAAGGAGACATCACTTTAGTGCCAACTGTGAATGGCACATTGCCAATCAGGTCTCATCACAGATCACCTTCATCGTCACCAACCATGGAGAGGGGTCAGATGAGTAGCAGGCAGAGCCATCACAGTCGACAGTCATTGAACAGCCTGGTGACCATATCTTCCAACCATATTCCAGAGAATTTCTCCCTAGATCTTGCTCACACCACCCCACCAGTTGAGGTAAGAAATCATTATTAAAACTTTTAGACTAATTTATAATATACATATGTGTACATATGTATATCAATTTTAAATATAAAAGACAGGTTTTGAAAACATCACTTTTTGATGTTTTTGTCTGCTCTCAAGTAACATGTTTTTTTTTCCTTTAAAAATCTCTGCTGGCAGTTGTGTAAAAGCCCACGATAAAATTCCTTTTTCTTTCATGCTTGGACAGTTAATATTTTTTTAATTGTTATTAACATTTAACATTTTCATTTGCATTAGTTTTCATACTCATTTTTCTCACTGTTTTGCATAACAAATTCATTCATTATTGTTTGTCATTTGTTCCATTAGTATTTATTTATTTTTATTTATTTTTAATATAGCAAGTCTCACAGCTTCTGTCCATGCTTCATCAGGGCCAGTACCAGCCAAGACCAAGTTTCCGTGGAAATAAATATTCAAGAAGCTACAGGTAATCATTATATAAGTTAATGAAATAGAATGTTTTAATTTAAGCAGTTTTTACAGGCTAGAGGTAAAACAACAATAACACATAAGGAGAATAAGAAAACAATGCTCCTTCAGCTACTTACTGTATACTGCATGATGTGAATATATCTACAGCCAAGTCACAGAATTCTTGTTTCTGTTAGTTGCAATTTTTTTTAAGTCTGCTGTTACATTATAATTAATACTGAAAGTAACCAAACTAAACAAAGAATGCTGAAATTGTATTATCTGTTGTCAACACTTGTAGAAATGAATGTTTGTTGTTTGTTTTCTTTGTTTCTAAACTGAGTAATCTTTGAATATACAGACCAGTCAACTAAAGGATTAGTTGCCTTTCGAATCCAACTTTTAATTTGTGACTCATTGTAACTTTATATTTCAGTATATAACAATGTAATATCTCAAATTCAGAAAAGGAAAGCAGTTGCATTTTATATACGTTATTTTTTAATCTTTCAGATATGCTCTTCAGGATATGGATAAGTTCAGTCTAAAGGACAGTGGTCGGGGAGACAGTGAAGCAGGAGACAGTGACTATGACTTGGGAAGAGAGTCTCCCATAGACAGACTTCTGGGTGAAGGATTTAGTGATCTTTTCCTAACAGAGGGGCATCACAGACTTCATCCAGGTATGGTTAACAATGTAGAAACTTTCAGGTTATTAAAGTATTCTTCTAGTTTTTATTCCATGCATTTAAAAAATAAATTCACTGAACTCATCAATGATTATTAATTATAATTATAAACCCATTGAAAGTAAAATGGTTCTCAATTGAGTCACAATAATGGAAGATTAGGCTATATTCTTCCATTTTATTGGATTATAATTTCAAAAAGTTCTTCAGACAATTTAGACTATGTTTACAATCATTGTGGTTATTGGTTTACAAGAAATAACACTCAAGAAAATAGTGGACTTTTTAGCAGGTTTTCTTTTAAATAGCAGTTCTATTATACAGGCTTTTGACTAGCACACTTTCTTTGAAGGTCACAGTTCTTATCCTTCATTGTATGGTATGCTTTTCAAATAAGACGTTGTTTTTAAACCTGTTTGCTTCAAACAAAGCCAAATACGATTTTATTGAAGCAGAATTATTTATAAAACTTGATATAAGTGAAAAAAGTTTCATTGACTTGTGTTCTTGGTTGCCATACATTTATAGAAGTTTACACAATTTTACTATAGATAACAAAATAGTCAGTACACAAGTAATGAAAAACTGGAAAGGTCATGTATGGCTAAGAATAGCATTTTTGATGATTTGAGAAAGTTCTTAGATGGTTTGTGAGTTTTGAGTCATATTGGTACCCATTTTTGCACAGCCATGAAGCTATGCACAGAAGAATGCCGTGTTCTCGGGCACTCGGACCAGTGCTGGATGCCTCCATTACCCTCTCCAGCTTCATCTGACTATAGGAATAACATGTTTATTCCTGGAGAGGACCCTCAGCAGCCACCACTGGAAGAAGATCAGCAGTCAATAGATTCCAGTGACCGGAAAAAGAGCTTTTCCACCTTTGGCAAAGACTCAAATAGCTGTGGTGAAGAAGCAGCAGGTGACCTTTGCAGCACTTCTCTCCTCTCTGAAATGAACACCGTCTTCCAGCGCTTGTTGCCTCCATCACTGGACTCTTATGTGGAGTGCAATGAAGTGGAGAGAACAAACTCTCTAGAACGTAGGAAGGGACATTTGCCAGGAAAGTCTTTAACATACCCTCAGGGGGTGGCAGCCTGGGCAGCTAATACCCATTTCCAAAACCCAGGAAGTAGTATCGGGCCAACTCAAGTGAATCACATGAGTTCTCAGCCCCCCTTTAAATGGCTGCCAGCCATGGAGGAAATCCCAGAAAACTATGAAGAGGATGACTTTGATAATGTCCTCAACCAGCTTCAGGTGAATCGTAGTGACAGTAGGCATGAAATAATGGATGCCAGTGAGCTGGTTGCTGAAATAAACAAACTTTTACAAGATGTTCGGCAGAGCTAAGACATGGGAATGGACCCTTTTTATTTTTTCCATATTAATGGAAATGAAGAAAGCAAAGAGAAATTATCATTTAGTTGCATTTATAATGTAAATGTGTCTTTGAACGCTAATTATTTGAATATGTTGTATTTTATTGTTCGGTACACAGTGTACACAATGTGGGTGTAATTATCTTTGTATTTTAAAAATACATTTGTACTCTTTATATTTATATATGTATATATATACAGTAATTATTCAAAAGTCTATTTTTATATTATTAATGCATGTTGTAAGCAAATTTTGAAAATGTCTGAAAATATGAATTTAAATAGTTCTTTTTTTAATTTTTTCTGCAAATTTAAAATATTTAAGGGGCACAATTCTTTGTAATGTGACGTGGGTGGGTGGAGGAAGATGTCTAATGTTTGATAATTTGTTTAATAAAAACATTCAAACTTGTGAACAAAATTCAGTGAGGATTGAGTCCTGTTGTAATGAAAGTACAAAATATGCATTTGGTAATATCAGTGGTGTGAAAGTGATCACCATTTCTTGATACAAATATACGTTTTAGAAGGAATTAATCAATGGGAATTTAAAATGTATTAATTGCATATATAGCACTTCTAATTCCAAAGGATCCAAAAGCACTTAACATACTGTATGGAAATCTTAATTCACTACTGAAATGCTACACCCAACATCCCCATTACATGGCATGTCTCGCCATTTGAATTAAAGGGGAACTTTAGGGTGACTAGATTGTGGAACAATACCTTGGAATTGTTAATGGCTAAGGATAAGGACACCATCTCAAGACTCAGTTACATCTCACTATTCAATACTTCAATACTTAAATCTTTAAGTGGGTTTAGAAGAAGAGATTTTTTATCCTTTAAAAATACATTTGGAATTTCACGTCATTTTATTTATATCTCAAGCTAAAAGGTTTGTGTGAATTATGGACATTACAATAATTTCTGAAGTGTTAGCTTGAAACTGTGCGAAATAACACTACTCATGCTTTATATGAGTTTATGCAAAAATTAGTTTAATGTACATATGAAGATATATAGTAAGTCTTCAGGAAGTTTGTTGCTCTTCCTTTTTGTTGAGCTCCTCCTACTGTTTGGAGTAATGCATTACCATTTATGGATTCATCCTTCAAATGCAATTTTAGTTTTCAGACTGCACACAAGTCAAAAACACAAACTTAATTTGAGTACTATTGATTTAACAAAGACCAGCTTATCTGTGTCCTGCCGGAGTCTTCATCCACCAGATATCAAATAAGTAAACCTGAAATTTTACAGGACCAAAGACATTTAAGTGTGTAATATATACATTATCCTTATACTACTTGCTTATCAATGGCATTTCTAAAAATGCATAAATACAAATTTCTCATTTGCTCAAATTGTAATAACATCTAAAATAAATCATACAAAATAAAATGCTAAAAATGTATCGAATATGTGTTATTATTAAATCCTTTGTGAGTTACAAATACATGTTTTTTATCACTATAAACATAAAAAACATAGATAATGCATATTTTAAAGTATGAATGCAAACAAACAGATAATAAGAGAGTGCTTTTAATAAGAGGATGTTGGGTTCTTTTTAGCCTCAAGGTTAAATACGTTTATGAATATTTTAGACTCTCTAATTTCCAGAAAGACAAGTCTAATTGTCTGGTTTTCATCCAGCCTAAAATTTTAATTTTGTAAGTAATAAAATGGGCCACATGTTATGCATTGGATATGCCCATTCTATATGTATGGTCACATAAACATACTGTATCTATTTCTTTGAAGGAACACCCTTACAGGTAAGAAGGTATTTAGAGCATACAGCTGCATTGAGTTATGGGCATGAATATTAATACGTTGTTCTCCAATATTGTTGCATATTGTTGCAGGAGATACAACTCAAGACTTAGGACTTCTCATTCATGCATTCTATGTGAAAAATGATGGACTAAGAAGTTGTATTACAGTTGTGTTGTATTGCCTGTCGTATTGTGATTGTGCAATGGTTTCTTCATATTCATACCCCTAGACACCATCCATCTCTAGATACAGTACTGGATTGCTTTTAAAATGGACCTATACTGGCCTGCTTAGAGATCTACAATATATTACATAACTAAGAATGTGGATCATCATGGTTACACTGTTTTCAGAGGAATGGTAACTAAATGGTGAGATTGTTTCCTGTATCTCAAAATATTATTGGGAGTTCCTTATTTAAGCAGGTTTTATAAATGGTGCTACAGTACCCTTCTCATATCTGAAGTACAAATGTACTATTAATCATTTTTAATAAGTCATTGGACTGATGTATTGTATTAATAATCACAAAGGGCAATACCATATTGTTTAGGTATAGTTTTTGAGCTTTTTATATGAAAATATTTTCATCTGTAAACAAATTAAACTTAAAAATGTTTTACACTGAATTATAACATAAACTGGACTTGATATAGAGCTGAATTTCTACATACTAATTTATTAATGATATTTACAAGGCATTCATCTTTTACATCCTAGTTGTCTAACTGGATTTTTAATGTAGAGCAGAATTAGTTTCCAGGCAATAATTTATTAATTACATTTACTAGGCATTAATATTTCATCTTATGTTGTCCATGTGAAATTTTAAAGGTCACAAAAAAAGCCTTTCAGTTTATGGAAATTATTACAAGTGGAGAACAAGACACTAAGAGAAACAATGCTGTGCTTCATTTGCAATAAATACATCTAAATATAGTTCTTTATTAAAACTGTGTAGCCTGTATTCATCAAAAAAATGATAATCATTGCAATTTACAATTCAAACAGTATTATATTGTGCCATTAATATTATATGGCATTTTGGAATAACTCAGATTTCAAGCATTAGACATCCCTATAACAATTGCAGCAGAAAGTAGTGGTTAAATGTCACAGTTTTCTATTAGTCAAACAGCAAAAAAGCTATGATTGACATAAAGATGCACATTAAACTATCTTAAGTAATTTCATCTAACAATATGTAATTGTTTTATTTCTATTAATCCTATAACAAAGTATTTGATTGCTTATTAAAAATATAATATATCCTGTTTCAAAAAATGATATCTTAGATCACAGAAATTAGTTTTGTAAATAGTTAAATGGAGTGTAATACAGAGACCTCTAGGGATCACTAGAATGAATTGCATATAAGTGTAGGGAAAGAATACATGAACAAGTGATTTCATCTGATTGAGTTTGTAACTTCAAGAACAAAATATACCTAGGTAAATGTAAAGCAACATTTTCTGTTTTGAATTGATGTCATTTGTACTTAGATGCACTGAAGCAAAATAAGGTTTGACATTTTTATTCTAGAATATTATTTTATGGGTGTGTAAAAAATAAAATACAGTATATTGTATGCCTTGAAAATAGAATATTGGACCTTTCTTTTTCTATATGGTACAAATTTGTCTTCTAAAAATGAATCATGAATCCATAATTGATGTTTTAGTCATATTATTTTGCAGTATATTGAAGCATTAATGCAGTTACCTACGAGTAAAACAAATAAATTAGATAAAATAAAAAAAAAGAATTGCAATGGTTTTAGTGACAGTACAGCATTACTGAAAAAAAATATTTAAAATGTATTTGTTCTTATCTTGAAATCTCTCTCAAACACACATTTGTATTTCTATACTTGTGATCTCCTATTAAATCTTATTTTATTCTTTAATTTACTATATTCTGACAAAATGAAACTGAACACAAAGTGAGAGCAGAACTATAACAAACAGTTTTACCACTTAAGATTTTTAGAAAGACAATATGTTGTTTAAAAAAAGGACCTGATAAAATCTTTTTCTCAGGAGTTAATATTTTTGTGAGAGTGAATCTTTTTCTTATTTGCTCCACATGTATGTACTCTATGCATGTTCTTATATGGAGTACACACTTTTATTACAAACTTCCACACAGTAGATTCACTACCAATTGTTCTTATTATGACAACAATATACTGTAATAACAAAATCAAACAAATGGATAAGATTTAAACAAAACCAGGACATATCCATTATTATGGTAAGCCAATTCCACACTATAACAAGGGGTTATACTAAGGAGTAAGTGAAAGGGTCACTATGCAGGATTATTACTTAGAATACCTTTCCTAGTGACCACTACACAGCCAAGCTATAGAAGTAGGTAGCACTATATTTTTTCACCCATAAATTAAAGTGTAAGATTAAAATTTGTCATGTATTGGAAAGTGAGTGGGAGGTACCCCAAAGTAGTACATTTGCTTGTGACTGGTCATGGACATACAGAATACAGGGAACCCACCAATAATCTTGATAGCTTGAAACAAGTTGCTGAATTTAACAAGAACTGGAAGGAGGGAATTGGGAGAAGATTTTGTTTTTTAGTAAGCATTTGCTACATATTGGTGTGATTGTCTATTAAATGTATGATATATGTGTGAACCTTGTTTATAGAAAGTACATCATAATCAATTTAAATCAATTCATATTTATAGTATATTCAACTGCTTACATATTGATAAAGGGGTTATTTTAAGGGTATAATCCAACATGTTAGCAATTTTAGCCATTTTCACTATACCAAAGACACTAAACCTTCATCTGTGCAACACCATTAGAGATTCTGCCATTTTAAAAACTAACTTAGAGATCTATCTTTTTTACTAGAGCTTTAATTGGATACTTTATTTTTACTTTTGACCCAATGTACTGGGTCACTTCACTGTCGTCTACATTCTTTATTATTTACTTTGAATATGTAAAAAAGATTTTATGAATAAAACGCATTAGAAGGCAGATTTATTTTTTATAACTATTGGTGTTATTGTTTCTACTGGTGCAGAATTGCTGCAGTGCTTTACTCAAATGAGTGCCTCACTTCACAGGTGCAAGATGCTTAGGGATCCTTTGCAATAAATAACACCAAACAAATTCAAGAAATTACCATTTTATTATAAAGGGAGAGTCCTGGCCAATTAATCTCACCAACTCTCAGTAGTGGTCAATCAATTGTGTGACATCTCTTGGGGAATCCTGGTCATAATTATTAATCAAGTCTCAAAACCATGATCATAGAACTCAAACTACTGTACATTTAGGCAATATTAATGAGTCATTTGGGAGGATTGATTTCTATATAAATTAATATCAATTGTTTGATGGTGCCTTTAACTGTGCACATACAGTATGTTATTCATTTTTCTG